TCTTACTGCTTTGGTTGACTGATACATATTTGCACACACATATGTTATATAATATATGTTATATATGTATATATATATGATATTTTGTTTAAATGGGATTTACCTCTACCTCACTAATCTGTATTTTCTTGTAAAAACATTTAGGTATAGTATTGAAACCTTTCAACATTAATTTGCCTTTGAGATTCCTGGAGCAGCCAAACATTGATTAGAATATTAACTTGATAGAGATGGCAGGTAAAGTCGTGGGCCAACATATTTTGCTTAATAAATGCCAGTCCAACTAAATAGAATTTTCAGATTAAAAACCAACTGTCAATCTCAGAGGTTGTGAACTCAGATAAAAAGGGAGTCCATGCAGTAACATAGGTGAAGGACAGACTGGGGAGGAGCTGTGGGCAACTAGAGAAGCTTTCCTCTGTGTTAAGGAGGGAACTATTTAATGTAGATCTCAAGTTATGCTGGAAAACAAGGGCCTGATAGTTACATGCCAGTTTTTCTTCCAGAGAGGATACAAAGCCCATCTATATTTTAATATAAAAGTGACAATATAACATTTGGCAACCAAATGAGAAATTATTAAAGTCTAAATCCAGTCTGAGGTCAGAAAGATAGCTCAGAATTTAAGAGTAATGCTGCAGAGCCCTGGTTTGGCTCCCAGCACCCACAAGGGGGATGGGACTCACAGCCACTTGTAATTCCAGTTCTAGGAGATCTACCACCTCCTTTTGGCTTCTATGGGCAACTTCATGACATACATGATGCTCGCTCTTTCTCTCTCTCTCCCTTTATAAAACAAAAAAAAAGCCTGGGAACATACTTCTTGTAATAAAGGCTATTTTATTTGTTTTAATGAAACAAATATAATAGAATTAAATAAGATAAAACAAAGCCGTCACATCAAAGTTGGATAATGCAAATTAACAGAAGGGAAAGAGCTCCAAGAGAAGTCCCATAATTAAGAGGCCTACTCATTCACACATTCAGGAGTCCCCTAAAATACTAAACTGAAAGCTGTAAGATATACGCAGAAGACCAGGTGCAGACCCCTGTTGGCCCTGTGCTTGCTGCCTCAGCCTGTGTGAGTTCACTGCTCAGTAGGTTTAGAGGGCCTTGTTCTCCTGGTGTCCTCCATCACCTCTGGCTCTTCCACTCTTTCTGTCTCCTCTTCTAAGGAGTTCCCTGAACTCTGAAGGGAAGGATTTGACGGAGACATCCCATTTAGAGCTGTGTGTACCAAGGCCTCTTTATTTGTATAATGTCTGGCTATGGGTCTCTGTATTTGTTCTCATAGAAATCCTTTTAATGAAACAAGCTTGTTTAATGGTTTAACTTGTAGTTTGTCTGAATACAGAAATCTGTTAGATAACTATCTGAATCTATTGGCCATGTTCCTCAGAAAAACAAAGCAAGGAGATTACTGACAGTAACTTGGAGAAGAGTCCTATGTAGAGACCTCTTAGAATGGTGCCTGAAAATAAAATTTTAGTTTCTGATGTGATGTAAAAACTGAAACAAATTATTACCCTATGGAAAAAGTCTTTTAAACCAAGTAAGTTAGATAATCCATGCTGAGAGTATTAACCAGTTTCTTTAGCCACTCCAGAGACTGTTAATATATAAACAAGTCCCTCTATAAAAGAGACTTCATATGTAACTTGAACCATCTACTACAACAATTGAACATCTCACTTTCCAATTACTAGAGTCAACTCTAGCTACTCAATATGGTACCCCACAGTTATGGATTAAATAGATAACTGGTAATATATTGACATCATTTGGTATGCAAAGGGAAGCAGTTTTACCTCACTAGAATGGAATTACTTACTTGAAAATGTTTTCCCAGGAAATTATATTTTTAAAAAACCTACTCATCCTATGTAGAGCACCGATGATAAACCAAAGAAATAATTCCATCAAAGTCTAATTTGGTAAAACAGGAAATTTATTGGAGTTACTTACAGGAGTTTGGGTGAGAGATTACTTATATCCAGGAGAATGGATGACTAAAAGGCAGCTACATCACTGAAAAGCACACCCCAGTCAGGGGTGACACATTAAAGTTGTATCTATGGGGTTTCCTGAATTACTTGACTTGCAGATAAATCCAGAGGTCAGTTAGTCTCTTCTCTCCAACTATCCTTATGAATATATATGACCTGCAGGATGCAACTTATGAATTGTGTAAGTCTCAGGAACTTCCTGAGACTTACCAGTTGTTTGTATTTTGAGCCTTGTAAGATTTGCTGAGTCTTAATGAGGATCTCACCAGGGTGGGATATTTTAATTTAAAGAATTGCTACACAACACCTATCACTATTCTTTTGTTAGATCCAATGTGGATCTGCTGAACATTAATAGAAAAATGACAATAACCACACATAGATTTACAGGGGCTTAATGTTAGGTGTGTTCAAACAGGTAAAATCCCCATCTATGTATAAGCTTAAGTAGAGTAAAAGGAAAATGAAATACAGTAAAAAATAAAAAACTAAACTACCATTTATTCCCTATTATTCATTAAAACCACAGATACTTGTGTCCCAGATTGGCCAAAAGGATTTATCTCACTGGTCTTTTCTCTCACAAGTATACTTCTTAAAAATTAATTTTCTTTTAAATATGTTTTAGCCATCATTATGCCTTTTTCGTATTGTATATATTTCCCCAAATAAGTGTATATGCCTCCTTTGCAATGAAGAGAATAGGAGTTAGTCCTTTGTGCCAATGTACAGGTTAAAATGGATCTAGTTCTCTTGTGGGCTATCAGAAGTGGAGTGCTTAAGAGGAACAAAATGCATTTAAATCGGTCCATTGTGTTGTGCTTAATGATCATGAGTGTCCCAAGTACCCTCTCAACCATTAACACACATTTTAAAACATCATGAAAGGCTTCTACCCAAATGCTGGTGTTGATTTCCATCTTTAACAGTAGTTGTGTATGAAAAATATATTCTATTCAAGAAGAAACAGTCACATTAAGTAAAACATGCATGTAGATTCCTGTAAGGCAAACTGATTATCATGGTGACAATCAACACTGGCTGCTGTGGCAAGACTCACGGCAAGCTGATGGCCACTAGAAAGGCAATACTCAGAAGAGGGAGATGGTGATGAAGGAAACCAGGTTTATTCAGAGGCTAGCACCGTGGAAAATGGAGCTGGGACAGAGAGCAAGCCCACTAGGAAGAAAAACCAATCCATCTCAGGAGACTCAAAAGTTAAAAACTTCAAAGCATTTTATAGGGAAGGAAACTAGAGTCTGTGAGCATTAGGTCACAAGGCTGTGTGTTGGACTGGTGTTCGCCATCTAAGATGCATGTCTCTGACTGGAACAAGGAATCAACATTGACACTATAAAAATGCCTAATTATGTTTAAAATATATTTGTTAATTGAAAATAACATTATTATATTTATGATGTAAACTTGTGGAATAAAAGGTTAATGAAATACTGTTATCAGGTAAGACTAGTTCCTGTAACAATTTAGGCAAAAAATGTATTCTTTCTTCAAATCCAACCTCATAGTGTATGTGTGTGTCTGTTTTATATAAAACTGAAGGATAAGGTAGATCATTACACATTCTGATGTAATCTCAATATCATAAGATATTCTGGACTTTGTAAATAAGAGAAAGTTCATTTCTTAAGACCTAGAGTCTTAATTATGTTGCTTCAGTTTTTCTTTAGAATTTAGGGTATTGAGCAAAGTGAGAACAGGATCTTTGCAAAAGGGAATCTACAAAGATGCAGCAATGGTATAATATGTAATTTAAAATCTTGTTATGAATAGGGTTTCTTCCAGGAATTTTTCTATTTGTTATTCCTAGCAACTAAATTAAAAATGACCTTCATGTAAAGACAGATAATATCACAAGGTAATGAGAAGAGGCCGTCTTGAGTAGGTCACAGGCATCATTCATAAAGTAATTATGAGCTTTCTGGACAGTGTTTAATGATTCCAGTAAACATTTACAAACCCTCCTCTCCATTATGAGATTTATTGAACTCTGTGCTCTGCCACACTTTTTATACAGTTTGGGGCCATTTTGTTACCAGAGTCAAACAAACACAAGTCAGTCAGCCCAAGCTTCGAGTGGTCAATAGAACTAAATATATTATTGTACATTAAAGGACAAGAAGAAATCAGAAACCAATAACCCAATACTTCAAGCACAAGAACCACAAAGGAAATGGTACCAACTAGCGAACTTGAGCTTTAAACACAGAGGAAACTATCTTCCCTGTTAAGAAGACATAAGAATGGGCACTCACCAGCAGTTTAGAATCAAGTACAGGATGTAAGTACATACTTGATTGCTTGTGAGTTAGGGATTGGGTAGCATGAGGGAGTGAAAAGAACTATTGACAAACCCATTTTTCTTTCTGCTAAAATGCCAGTTGATTCTTTTTTGGGGGGAGCAGTTTCGAGACAGGGTTTCTCTGTGGCTTTGGAAGTTGTCCTGGAACTAGCTCTTGTAGACCAAACTGATTTCAACTCACAGAGATCTGCCTGCCTCTGCCTCCTGGGTGCTGGGATTAAAGGCGTGAGCCACCAATGCCCAGCACCAGTTGATTCTTGATCTGTGTAAGCAATCCACATAATGTGTTAACCGTCGGTGTGCTCACACACCGCTGTTTTCACGGTTTGATGCTGTTACCTCTCTTGTCATCATTCAGTTTCCACTGCTCAGAATGACATTTTTTCCCACAAAGTCATCCTTCCAAACCAGTCCTTCAGCACTCCACATCAGCTACTCACTCTTGATGTCTTCAGTTTAGATACACACTGTGGAATTTCCCATCCTTCGGGCTCTCTCATTCAGTTACTCTTTTTATATATTCTCATTCTCCCTAGACCCTTTTCATCCTCTCTTTCAAAGACCATGCCTGCCTTCATACTTTCACATACCCCAACACTCGAATATGACTAGCTCGTGAAAATTTTTGCCTTTTTGCTTCACTATCTTTGTAGAGAGACAAAACCAACACATACCTAATTTAAAGATCTCAGTCATCTTTGTCTTCAGTTCTAGAATTGAGGCACTTTCTGTTCTGTAAATACATAAAGTGTTATGATGAGCCAAGCAGAAAAGCCTCATTTTATTTAGGAAGGAATGAAGGAAGGAAGGAAGGAAGGAAGGAAGGAAGGAAGGAAGGAAGGAAGGAAGGAAGGGAAAAGAACAGAGTGGTAACTGGATAGTTCCAAGACTGCTTTGCTTGTGAGATGAGGACAAGGAGACAGAACAGAGGACTGGACATCAAGTTACTTCATAAAGATTTTTTATTTTTAGTGTTGTTATCATCCAACTCAAAGTGGACTGTTGAGGGAAGTGTGGTTCTCTCCATATGGTGACCTCAAAGAAGGGTAGGTGTAACTTGCTTTCTATGTGATGATGAGGAAAAACCAAAATGTGGGTGACTCTGTTTTTAGTTTTAGCTCTTTAGGACCAAATGAAAGAACGTAGTGAAACTGGCTTTCCATAATTTTAATTTAACATTTGGATATAGCCACAGACAGAATTAACACATGCAAGCACTGCTTTTTCTTCAGCCTCTATAGCATACATTGTATCATCTTCCTCAGTCATGTCACTTGTCATTCTTACCAAATAATCTTGCACTTTATTTCAATGGAAAAAATAAAAACCACAAATCGAAAATGCCCACTTTGCCATTCACCTAACCCCACCCGCATCAAGCAGTTTCCATCTCTTTGCCTCACTGTCATTCAATGCCAAAGTTACGTTTTTCCAGCTGCTAGAGACTTCTTCACCTACACTCTGTATCTCATATCTGCTAGTTTCTATTAGACTAATTCATTTTTCATAATTTAAAATAATGTAGTGCAATGATGTTTTTAAAAATTAATAACTTAATCATTTGTGCCCTATCTTCCATCAGTGTATTTACAATCAACATACCCTCCTTTAAAACAATCAGATATATAGCAGAGGAACAGATAAGCAATGTACACTCTGAAATGTAATTTAAAATAGAAAATTCCACATTCCATGAATAAAGTACAGATAAGGCACACACTGTGTTCAAAAAAAAGGAACACTTAGTTCAAACTCATGGCAAGAAGAACTTTGTTAAAGGGGTGTGATATACACCAGGGCAGGTAAGGTTTAGACCCTCTGAAACAGATTTGAAAGACAGACAATGGGAAAGGGATGGTTAGAAGCATAGCCCCTGGGAAAAGCTTTCAACCTTTCTACCCTTTTAAGAGGACCCTTATATCTTCACATCTCTCTTGAGTCCAGCTCGGAATGACTCTTAAATCCCAGGTTAAGAACTGCTGACCTTGTTCATTAGATGACAGAGTGGTTGGGTGCATTTTCCATTTGAGTTTCATTTTTATTCAAGGATGAGAAACGCGGAACTGTCTTTAAAGAAAACAAATCTGTTGACAGTGTTAGATAAAACTAGAAGACTATGGAGTCAGAGTCATAATGATGAATTTTATCAGGACTCGGTGTAATTGGAAAGTTTTTCAGCAAATTAATGTGAAAGAATATTTGAAATAACTTGAAAATGCCACTGGATACAAGAATGCTACTTGATACAGTTTATACAGTTGGCACTTCAAAAAGACATAAGTTATGTTGTCTGTTTTTATAAATCTCATAACCTTATTTTTAAAATTAGGTTATTAATGTACAAATAACACTATAAAACTGAAAAATACACATAAATAATAAAATACAGAGCACAGCAGTACAGAGAAAATGAATTATGCCTCAGCTAGATTTTAATTATGTAGGCAATTGTTAAAATCAAGTTTGCAACAGCAAGAGTTGGCAAGCTCTCTGTATGGACCAGAGAGTAAATAATTCAGGCCCCAAGGAATACTCAATCATTTGCAAAATTTCAATGCTTTCACTGTAGCTAAGGAGCAGCCACAGAAAACACATAATCATCTTGTTTGTGTCTTAGTATTATTTGTAGGAACATTCCATGGCTATTCAATGGGAGCTACAGCTAACAGTTGAAAAGGTGAAGAGAAACAGGCAGATAATCTTATGGCACAGTCTCTACTAAAGCCCCAGTATACCTTCATATGTCAGGTGATGGAGGAGGGCCTTCTGTATGCTGTGAATATATGTTTTTCTTATTGGTTGATGAATAAAGCTGTTTCAGCCAATAGGCAGGCAGGGAGTATAGGCAAGGCTACTAGACTAGGAGGGGCTGGGAAGTGGAACATAGAGAATGAGTTGAGGGAAAGATGCCATGTAGCTGCCAAGGGAGCAAGAGGTCCAGGCATCGCTGATAAATCAAGACAACATGGAGATAAATAGATTAATAGAAATGGGTTAAATAATTAAAAAAGAGATATCCAATAAGAAGCCTGAGCCATTGGTCAAACAGTTTGTAAATAATATAAGCTTCTGTGTATTTATTTGGGACTAAACAGCTGTGGGACCAGGTGGGACAGAAATTTCCATCTAAAGTCAGGGAAGTAAAAAGGGAAACAATTGCCTTTGAGGTAGCCAAGCATGGAAGGTTGCTTTGCTGGATGGCTACCAACTCTGCAAAGAACTAGCCCATTCACCAACATTACTCTCTTTTAGGTCAGCCCGCCCAATGATTTCAACTAGCCCATTCACCAACATTACTCTCTTTTAGGTCAGCCCACCCAATGATTTCAACTAGCCCATTCACCAACATTACTCTCTTTTAGGTCAGCCCACCCAATGATTTCAAGGGCCCCACCTCTCCAAAGTCCCATCACCTCAACACAGCACGATGAGGATCAAGCCCTAGTACGTGAACCTTCAGGGGAAAAAAAACACATCCAGAGGAGAGCACACTTCACCAATGGCAGAAAAAGAATGTTCAAATTCCTTAGAATGAAGGAAAAGAATTTTAAAACAATGAGACAAAGGAATAACCAATTCATCCTATGAAAAGAACATCAATTCATCAGAACATTACAGCTTAAAAGAATTCTTTCCCTGTGAATGAAAACATTCTTGATACAGAAATATGCTGTAGTATATTTGCAGTATATATGTCACATAAAGTCTTGGTACAGCTAACAGGATCTTAGCAGTATCATCCAAGCAATTAATTTTGTTCCCTTACTGGTTATTAATAAGTACAGTTGAGAGTTCCAGAATTTAGAATTACTAAAACAAAGCATTTACCTCAAACCTGCTAGAGAAGAGCCTGTCTTAAGTTCTGTGTCCCTAGCTTGCTTTCTGTTACTGTAATAAACATCATGACAAAAATCAAGCTGAGGAAGATAGAGTTCATTTAACTTATGTGTCCTGATCGCAGTCCACCACAGAGAGAAATCGGAGCCGGAAGAGAAGCAGGAGCAGAACTAGAGGCCATGGAGAGATGCTGTTGACTGCCTTGTTCCCTGTGGATGGTTCAGCCTGCTTCCTTATATAGCCTAGGACCACCGCCCAGGGGTGGTCCAGTCAGAAGAGGTAGGATCTGGTCTGAACAAAGTCTCAGCAACAGTACATGTTTAAGAGCAACGTGGAGGAGAAAGAAGCAGAACATAGACTTGAACTGAACTATATTGAAGGTACAAAGTAAGAAGGCTAATTCCAGAGCAGCAGTAAAATGGTCAAGAATGGGATGGAAAACTGGGTGTGGTGGTGCATGCCTTTAAACTCAGCACTCAGGAGGCAGAGGCAGGAGAATCTCTGTGAGTTCAAGGCCAGCCTGGTCTACAGAGCAAATTCCAGGAGTCAGGGCTATACAGAGAAACCCTGTCTCGAAAAACAAAACAAACAAACAAAAAGAATGGGACCTGTAGAACATGGGGACTGCCAGGGACAGGACTAGTTGTGCAGTGGTATTGCAACTAAAGTCTATCTGGCACACTTCTTCCATCCATGGCTCCTGGAGGGGTCCCAGGACTGCAACTGGAATCATCTACCATACCAAGGATAGCTGAAGGAACCATACCTGTTTAACCAGATAAGGCAAAAATGAAGTATTAGAACAATGGTTCAACTAAAGTACTGCAAGAACGGGGGGGGGGGGGCAAAAAGGCATTCTATACTATCCCATATGGTAAACTAGGACCAACAGGAAGTTACAAGCAAGCAGACTCTGAGCCCTAAATTCAAGGATTTCAGCAGAACCTTTGCTTCATCATCTACTGTCTGGAATATTCTATCAACATTTGTTAAATGCATAAAAATAAGAAGGCACTGTTATGTAAGCAGTATGATTAAACTTTACTGAAGAAGCAACTGAAACAAAGAGTTCAATCACTTGCCCAAAGTCGTTCAACAAAGTCAGAATTTGAAGGAGCCCTGATTCCGAAGTCTCTGACTCAACTACACCAGTAAGTCATGTGGCATGGAAGAAAGAGCTGGCGCTGAGCCCAGCACTACAGGAGAGGTAATTTAAGAGTTCTTACTTAATATGAGTCTTGGTCATGTTGGATATCAGTTTTTGTTGATGTTAGATTACTTATTTGAGCTTGCTTAATCTTTATGTTGGCAAAGCTGAACATTTAACCATATTTTTCAAGGTGTCTATAAGGTGACAGCACAAGGTGAGAGACACTTTATAGGAGAAATAATAAATTCTTTTGTCCATAAAATACTATGTGAATTACTTTAAGAAAGTTTTGCCCTTTTCTGCAGACTTTATTACTTCATCAGAAAGCACTGTGTGCTTGCTGCATGGGCCTATAAGAGCTTGGAGAGTTTACCAGTCCTGACTTGGGCTCCATTAGGAAGACTTCATCAGCTTCCATGTTAGCCAGGTGCTAAGCAACCTCCTGTTCATTCCACTGCCCTCTGGAATCGTGGTAGCGCTGGTTCAGACTATCAAGAGTAGAATCTAGTGAAGTGTGCAGTGGAGCAAACTGCCTGAGAATGTTCCCAGGGAAGGAGTCTCTCCAAGGGGTCTGGAGACAATAATTATGCTGCGAGAAAATGCATAGTGACAGCTGAGTTAGATACAGGGTATGTTTCTTAGCCAAAACATGCCATTTCCCCCATTTCCGGTCAAGGTAAGAAAACCTGCTGCTTTGCACTTCCTTGAGAATTTTAGGAATTAACAATTTAGGAT